ATGTTCTCGTCCTGAATACGCATTCAATTTGCCACTCGACGTTAAACAGCCACCCATGATCATCATCCATTTGGTAATCTACCTCTACATCTATATAAAAATAGTATAATATTCCCAGCAGACACTAACGGTCGTATTTGTGCTAAAAACAATATATACTAGTTAGCGAAAAAACATTCTATCAGACAACATAAAACGGCAGCCACTGGATTACAGTCTAATGACTGCTCGTGGATAGCACATCATATCCCAGGGTTACATAAGTTTGTGAACGCTTAATCCAACTACTAATTTGGGACAGAGATGTAACAATACAGCAATAGAAAAAAATGTAAAATTAGTTGAAAAAAGGCTTTACTCATCAGATCATTGTATACATATTTCGCCGCAATCCCATTTAACATAGGACTTTAAGATATATATAAGAAACAAAAAGGATTTAGAAACCTGCAAAGTTTCAATAGTAATGTGCCTTCTAGAATGCAAATACTAGTAATGTCCTAACATGGTCAAACTTACATAACGTGTGACACCTCTGCAATAACTACTAGTATATAGAGGAGTAGGGTCAATCTAATTCAAATATAGACCTAGCTCTTATGAGGATAACGAAATCAGAGGTCTATATTTTAATTAGATTGGAGTAGGACCAATTTCCCCTGTATTTGTTTCACTCGCATGGTCAAAATATAGAGGTTATCAAATCATAAAGGAAAATGAATATTAGAGAGACTATATCATAAACATTTGTACTTTAAACATTGCTTCACGATTTTACATATTTCCGTAAATCAAAAAATTATTCAGCGCTACATCCTGCTGAAGGCATTTTAAACAGTATTTTACATGTTTTTGTCACATGTTGCATCGAAGGACATCGCTATCCAAATTTAATTAATTTGTATCCGAAGACAATACATAGCAATACTATGTTACTTAAAAATACTGAATACACATGGGAAAAAAGTGTATTGTAAACAGTATGAAATGCTTAGGTTTATGCATGATAGCCATGATAGAGCATTTACATCAAAGATGGAAACGTCTGCTTTTGATATTATATTTCTGTACGAATCTCGTGATGAGAAGAAGAAAAATAAAGGATAGAGAATAATCGTGTGCACAAGTATAAAGAAAAACTGCGGATTATTAAAAAAAAATAGGAAATACAATACTGATTACAGTATTGAGAATAAAGAAATCATGAACATCAATATTATAGAAAAATTGAATAGTAAAATCATTTTCATGAGAAGCGTTATTTTGTTAAAGATAAAGAAAGAATATTAAAATACCCCCATCCAGACCCTCATACATCCGAAAGCATGGTTAAGCCAAAAACAAGATATTGGTGTCAACTTGAACATGAGGTCCTGAGGGAAGATTTCAATGTCTTAAATTGTTGTATAGTGTACTTGAAAATGAGAATTTTTTTCTAAAATTTACTCAAACGACAGTTTGGGACAGTAAGGTCTAAATCACTCGCCTGCTTATAAAGCACCCATCATTTATAGAGCACCATCAGCTGTCGATATGAAACCTAAGTTAGTAAGTTCGAGTTGCCTCCCTTTGCATTAAAAAGCTTACGTTTTCACAGACAATTTGGAATATTATATGAGGAATATGAGAAATAAACATTCTCGATTTATTGTAGACAAGACGTGCACTTCCACAACCATTGTAAAATTACGCATACATTCACATACGTATTCTAACGTACACAATTTCACTTATCGTTAAACCCTAAATTGTTTGGTCATGATTACTATGATTTGAATAAATATTTTCAATACATGATGTAAATATAAATGCGAAGATGCGGTATCAGTGCCAATGAGACAACTCTCCATCCAAGTCACGATGTATAAAAAGTTATCAATTATAGGTCAAAATACGGCCTTCAACACGGAGCCTTGGCTCACACCGAACAGCAAGCTATAAAATTAAAGGGCCCCAAAATGACTAGTCACGTAAAACAATTCAAACAGGAAAACCAACGGTCTAATCTATATAAAAAACGAGAAACGAGAAACACCTATGAACCACACCAACAAACGACAACGACTGAACAACACGCTCCTGACTTAGGATAGGCGTATAAAAATACAGCGGGTTTAAACGTTTTAACTTGCAGGCGCCAACCTTCACCCTAACCTGAGACAGTTGTGTCACATTACAACATAAAAAGACGCACTATAAAATATCAATTGAAATGGCTTAACTCGATCAAAAAGACATTTAAACAAAAACAAGTTAACATATGTGAGCCAAAATTTGTTCCTGTGAAAAAAGTTCCAGTGGAATAAATATCACAGGAAATATATTCTGGGAGAACTTTTTTCACAGATAATTTCTATATAATTTGCTCCATCTCTATAAAATAAGTTCCACAATTTACCTTGTGAAATAAATTTTGGGTTTGTGAAATTTGTTCCTTACGTGGTGAAATAAGTTTCAAGTTTGTGAGATTTGTTCCTTACCTGGTGAAATAAGTTCTTTGTCTGTGAAATATGTTCCACTGTTATACAAGTTATCTTTAATACTGAGCATTGTCATCAGTGAGTTTAAAGTGTTCATTCAAATTTCAAGTACATCATAAAAACATGTATCATATTGATAATGTAATAAATAAAAAGTGTAAACATCCAAAAGGGATCATATTGAGTATAGCATTTGTTTTTTTAATCATATTATCTACTTACAATATTATGCTGACTTAATTTGAATTTCTAAAAGATTTACCATATTTTGAATGCTCTCGTGTTGTTTAAAGACTTCAATGATGAGTATTAAATTTGTCAGGTACACTTATAGAATGTTTTGCTTGATATAAGGTTAATGCATCACGTAAAACTATAACACCCATGACAGTTAACCGGAAACAAAGAGGAATACGACATAAAACACAAACAAAAACAAATTATAATACATTACCATCGCTTTTATTTCTTTTCTTCTTCTGAGAGTTGCAATCATGCCTTCGATTGCAAATGTAACCCATGAAGCTCAGTACAGCATCCAGCTTGCATTGCCCCTGTGAAATATGTTGCAAAGGAACTTATTTTCTGTGAAATATAGGTTCGAGCGGAACTTATTCATTGATTTCTATGAAATATATTCCTTTGGAACTTATATCACAGGAAATTTATTTCACATTTTTTAAACATTTAATATTGGAATAAAATTCATGGAGCTGTGATTTTTGTTCTGGAACTTATTTCACATTTTGTCAAAAAAATTAGTTCCGAAACAAATTTTACAGCGCTGGAACATATTTCCTTATATATATTCCGGGTATAAATTTTCTGTGATATAAATCCTGGTGGAACATATTTCCCATGAAATAAGTTCCGGCGGAACAAATGTCACGCCGGAACAAATTTTTTGTTACACATACGCTGAACGAATAAGTTTGATCTATGACACAATATAAATAAATATTTTTCACTGGCTTCATATTATCTCCTAAGATTTGAATATTATGTCAACTATATGCTTAAAGATTTAAATATAAATTCTTTTTGAAAATTTTTGTATAACTAGACATATGCACGAATGAAGGTCTTGGTGGGGTGTTTATATAATAGAGAATAATGGAAAAAGACTAAAGAATGGGCAAAAAAAAAAAGAATAGAGAATAATTGGATGAGAATAGAGAATAATGGGGTGCTAACATAAGAAGTTCTCTTATTTAATTAAATAAACTCATCATACTAAGATACCAGGCTTAAAAATGTACGCCAAAAGACTTATCAGTGACGCTCGAATAAAAAAAAATTACCAACTCAACACAGTAATAAAATCTTTAACTATTATTTTATCGGTATTAACATTGATTTTGTTTTTAAAAAATTAAAACATAACTAAATATATAAATATAAATATATATACAGTTTTGAGAACTCATGATCCTACATCCTGTCGATACTGTTGACATATTTTTGGCATTGCACAAGACGGTCATTCTCATACTGTTTATGAGGTCTTTTCACTAAATCCGTTGGGTGTGCATTGATTAATACTTGTGTCTGATTTATTTATAAGTTGTGATTGCCTTTGAACTAACATTCGGTGACTGGAGTACTCTTATGTATATGCTTTATGTCTATTGCTTTTATGTTAGTTATTTTTGTGCGTCGTACCGATCTAGCCAATTGCAACTGATTTTTAAAATTGTTACACCACTGTCCCGGTTAGGGGAGAGTTGAGCGCTTAGAAAAACATTTAAACCAGCCACATTCTTTATGTGCCTGTCCCAAGTCAAAACAATTTTGCTTTTCCTTGTGCAAATGAAGAGGGTTTACTATGTAAACCAGTTTTAAGTTTATAAGAAATTGGCCCTACCTCTTTTCTTTTTGATTTAACATGTGACAAGTTTGATTACATTAGTTTATTTCCGATAATATAATTATAAACAAAATACTTCTTTATTGTGTCTTTTTTTTTTTGGTAAAAGAGAGGCGAAAGATACCAAAGGAATATTCAAACTCATAAGTCTAACAAAAAACTGACAACGCCATGGCAAAAAACGAAAAAAGACGGAAAGACAAACAATAAATAAAACACAACACTCAAAACTATAAACTATAAGCAACACGAACCCACCAAAAACCGGGGTGATCTCAGGTGCTCCGGGTTGGTAAGAAGATCCTGCTCCACATGTGGCACCCGTCGTGTTGCTCGTGTAAGTACAAACCTGGTGTTAAGGCTAATCGGGTAGGTCAAATTCGATGAAAAGAAGACTGGATTGTGGTTCAAGCATTTGGAACATATCCATGGTCATCATGTGAAATCAGTAGATATTGGAATTTTGATTTGTACTGGATAAAATCTCTACTAGAAGATATTACAATTCCGGTGTGTACTAAAATCATTATTGATCCTACTGAACTCCAATTTGTAGTGTAACATATACCATAGATATAATAGCCATGGCTATTATATCTATGCATATACAAACAAACACAGATTGTTGGCGAGTCGCACTGGGGCGAAAGAACCTAATTGTAACTTCCGGGAAAACGCCATTTTAAACGTTTTGGTTCTCTCATAAACAGATAAACAAGACTTTTATTATTCGGAAAAGAAAAGAATGGCCACTGTACCTGGGAATTTACCCCGTCGAATCATAAAGGTGCCATTTATATTTCCCCCAAAAATTGTCGGGATTTAGAAATGATTTCATACTTTTCTTAAACATAATTTGCCATGATTTTGAAGAGTTAAAACAAAAATTTGTCTCCGTTATTAATTTTTAATATTTCACTGTAGTCTTATTTCGGTGTTAGCTAGAAATACCTTAAAATTATTGTTCTAAATTACATACAGTCCAATATATCATTAACAATTCGGATGTCGAATAAGGGTTGGTCCCCTGTTGATTTTGATATCAGTCATGCCGGTCTATTTGAATATCGGTAATGCCGGTATAATGGACATTATCATTATTTGTTATCTTCAACACTTGACCCTAGAATATGAGACACTTGAACTGTTGACGTCATACATCAATCTCATTTAGGTTGTGGTGTCGCAGCGTCAGACATTTTCCGTTGTGACATCAAAATATTACGATAACGTTTGTGATGTTATGTAATGGTGTACAAAAAACGATTTAAGGTGTATCCAATTCATATTCTTGTTGAGATCTAGCCTTTTGTGCAATACATCATTTAGTAATCAATCAAATTATCTTTTTCAGAATCCCATTTTGGATTCTGAATCGAGAGTGATGTTCAGTGGGCGTCCAAATCAGAAAATCAATCTAGTCTCGGTATCCCTAAAGGGGTTAATGTCATTACTACTGTAGTTCGTTTTAGACTTCGTGTTTTATAATATAAGACAGGTGTTACTTGATGAGCTCTTGAAGTTTATTGGGTTTTAACGTGGGTTTTGCATGTTATTTTTACTTTTCATACTTTTTGGTATTCAAATATACAAAATTGTGGTAAATCATATGCACCTCAAAGATGATTTAAGATAAAACGGAAAAAGTTCGATCACTCTCATGTTATATAAAGTTACTCATGGTGTATAGACTCGAATTGACCCTTCTACCATTTATGTTCTCCCTTCAGGTATAATTTGTACATGTATATTTGTATTACATAACACATGGCAAATGGCACTTGCTGATCCATTCTACCAACTTAACATTTACATTGCTGTTTCTCGTATGGATAGTCCATGTTTAATTGTCCAGATTGTCTGTATTTTCAACACATTAACAATTGGAAACACCCTGTAAAAGTTGCAGGTTTTTATGAAAGGTTTAAATTAGAAACAAAATCAGGGTTGTTACTTTTTACTTAAATCATGTTTAATAAATGCTGGTTGGTGTTAGAGCTTAGCTGTGCAGTCTTCTCCTAAGAAATTTTGTGCTATTGTAAGCATGGAACAGTTTGGTGAAATGTGTTGAAAACTGTCACATCCCATTTCCTCTCTCCTGACCTGTTTAATTCCCATGGTGTCAAGTATTTTTGTTATTACCCACCCTTATTTACATGTACATGTATCTACCTGTACTAGTTTAGTTTTTTATTGTACTAAGTTGAGGAGACCTTGATTCAGCAAATGATTGAAAAATAATCAATAAACTGTTAAAATTTTATTCAAGAGTGAATAAAACTGGATAAAACTATAGAATATTATGATAACATACTAAATACTATTTTATTTGTTTTCAGTCATTAGTGACTATCATATACAAGTAATTAAGCACTAATAGTTTTTTAAAAAGGAATTGGAAGATACCAAAGGGACAATCAAAATTCAAAAGTCACAGAGAAACCAACAAAACCATGGCCAAACAAGAATGTGTCCATAGTACACAGATGCCCCACTTGCCCCATCATTTTCTATGTTCAGTGGATCGTGAAATTGGGGTCAAAACACTTAATTTGGCATTAAAATTAGAAAGATGATTAATATCATAGGGAACATGTGTACTAAGTTTCAAGTTGATTGGACTTCAACTTCATCAAAAACTACCTTGACCAAAAACTTTAACCTGAAGCGGGACAGACGAACGGACTGATGAACGAACCGACGCGCAGATCGAAAAACATACTGCCCCTAGGTGGGGCATAAAAAAATGAAATGAAAAGACAAAAGTCTACAAAACCCTTCATAGAAAACAAATGACTGATCAACATGAACCCAACCAAAAACCTGGGTGTGATCTCTGCAATAAATGAAGGTTAAGCAGATCCTGCTCTACATGTGGCATATGTCGTGTTGCTCATGGTTAGAAATTCTGCATCAAGTCACATTTTGTGATGTCACAATCGATCAAAGAAGATTGGATTGTGGCGAGGACAATTAGAACATATTCATGGCCATCTGTGACACAGAATCATGTATTCCATTGTAAACCGAGTCATGATGGCGTCCGTAAAACTTTTGAAAGGAGGATTTCAACTTTACTACATGTATAAGAACTCATGGTTCAATATAGCTTCCTTGTTAGCAGCAATCCTCTATCAAGTCAAATTTGTAACATGTAAAGTATGACACCGTTAAATGCATCTCACTCTTTGGTATACTTTATTTTTAAAGAATATTTAAAGTTTGAAGGGATAAATGCATTCAACAAATGCCTAATTTTGAATTATTATTCTATATAGCAGAAATTCTGATTGATTTTTGTCATATTTAGTTTGACACGCTTTTTATACTACATTTTGTACCGCAAAAATTTCAAATTTTTTAGATCTTTGACCACATTTATTTTGTGTCAGAAACCTATATTATGTCAAAAACTTCATCACAATCCAAATTCAGACAGTATCAAGCTTGAATATTGTGTCCAAACTTGCCCGAACTGTTCAGGGTTTGATCTCTACGGTCATATCAGGCTGCGCTTGACGAAGCATTATATTTGAGAATGAAGTTAAAAAAAAACCTTTATGCAAAACAATTGACGTGTTCATTTGTATGTAGATTGATGTTGTTATGTTGATCAGAGTAATTTATCCAGTAATATTTTGTAGGAGACACAGAGATTGATGACAGAGCCAGTACAGGGTATTAAGGCAATTCCAGATGAATGTAATGCAAGATATTTTAAAGTAGTAGTTGATGGTCCAAAAGAGGTAGCTTTATGTCAGAATATAAGATGATTTAATTTTATTTGATCAATTTTCAGGATGAAGTCATATACATGTACGTCATATACACATTTTTGAAAATGTCTACATACATGTGTATAGCCTTAATATGAAAATAAGGAGATGTGCCTGTGGTATGATTGCCAATGAGACAACTATCCACCAAAGTTCAAATGTATTAGTTTGTGATTAGGTCTACTTTTATGAGTTTATGGTGAACCACTAGTGGTAGGTCAATGATATTTGGTATGCAGTTGTATTAGCATTGGCACATCTCATTTCCATGGAGATTATTCGGCCCTGCCCCCTCAGTCATGGTCTATTGCCTTTGAAACTTTTGCTTAGTTTACATGTATTAGTTTGTGATTAGGTCAGTTTATGGGGAACCACTAGTTATTGGTCAATGATATTTGGTGTGCAGTTGTATAAGCATGAGCATTGGCATATTTCATTTCCATGGAGATTGTTTGGCCCTGCCCCCTCAGTCATGGTCTATTGTCTGAAACTTTTGCTTTGTTTACATGTATAAGTTTGTGATTAGGTCAGTTCAAGGAGAACCATTGGTGGTAGGTCAATGATAATTGGTATGCAGTTATATAAGCATTAGCCCATCTAATTTATTTCCATGGAGAATATTTGGTCCTTACCCCTCAGCCATGGTCTATTGACTTTGAATCTTTTGCTTAGTTTTACAAACATGTATCAGACTATCACTTTAAGATGAACCACTAATGTTAAGTCAGTGATAGTTGGTATGAATCTCATTTCCATGGAGATTATATAGCCCCACCCCCTTATCATGGTTCATTGACTTTGAAACTTTTACATAGTTTACAAGTTAATGTTTGTGTTAAGTTTGTTTAAAGGGAACGACTTATGATAAGTCAATGGTATTTGGTATGCAGTTGTATAAGCCATAGCTTATTTCTGTGGAGATTGTTTAGCTCTGTACTTTCAGTCATGGTTCATTGACTTTGAATATATGTATAACTTACATGTTGAACTATTTTAATTTCAATATTTGCATTATCAAAATAACAAAAAGGCGAGACATGTATCTCTGTGTTAACAGTTTATTTAAATAGTAAAGGGACAAGTTATTATTTGAAGAATAAATCAAAATCTCATGGATAGAAATTGATACATGTAACAGGAAGGAGGTTGATGATCTAGATTATCTTTCACTATTAGGAAATGAAAGGGAATATGGGGAACTGATTTGTTTTCTTGATAATTTACAAAATATAAACAAACAAATTTGCACTAATATTCAGTGAAAATGATACTTTATAAATTCAGTGCATCAAAAGTGCTTTTGAGTTTTCTTGATTTACATTCATTAACCTTTATCAGGAAAGATCAAACTTAGAATTTGAAAGCCAAGGATGTATAACTACTTGAGGGAGCTACATTTTGTATTTGAACAAAAGGGACATAAAAAGAATAGCCAAATTCACTTTAACTTTGCTTGAGGGAGTTGGAACTTTATTTCTCGTTATGATATTTAATTAAATTCCCTGAATTAAAGATAACTATGAGAAAGTTATTTATTTTAACCAGATTCTTTGATTCATTATTAGTCCCCTACCCACGAAGTTGAAGGGGACTTTAGGTTTGCACTCCGTCTGTCTGTCCATCCGTCAGTCTGGCAAATCAGCTTTCCACACTTTTTTTCTTCGTTCTTGAAGATATTGATTTGATATTTGGTATATAGTTTTATCATGACAAGTTATAGATCAAGTTCAAATTTTGTTCCGGTCTGATGAGTTAGTCCAGAGTTATGGACCATATCTTATGTTAGAGTACTATGTTAAACCATATTTCTGTACAAAGGGAGATAACCCATTTTTTAAAAGACATTCTTTGTTAAATTATTTGAAGAATTTTTTGGCAGGTTTGTTTGTTATTTGATCTTATTTAGTATAAACTAATTTTCAGAATGCTATATATATAAAAAAAAAATTATGAAGAGATATCATTTAATTAGATAATAATCTATTTTTATTAATGTATATATTTCAATACATTACATTGTGTAGATAAAAGTTGTTGATATTTTATAGATAAGTTACAAATCTATATTATTTGGAACTATTTTAAAATTATATTTGATTATAATTTGAAAATAGATATACACTGTATTACATCATATCTAATTTTAGAGAGCTATTAATCATATCTAATGTTTTTTCACTCATATAAACAGTTTTCCACACTGTTTTTAGTCATGCTTGAAGATATTGACATGATATTTACTTTTTGTTTACACCATGACAAGTTATAGAACAAGTTAGTATTTTGCCCCAGTAAAATGAATTTTTTACCCGGAAGGGGACTATGTATTGCCATGCAATACTCTCAGAATGCTTGTTAGTTTTATTATTTTGATGTATTTGTTAAATACTGCATCTTTGAAAAAAGATCAAAAGTTGTAACTGGTAAGCAATTTTATTAACTTTTTACAAGAAAACAATATATAATTCTATTATTTTTCTATGTGTTTGCACTTTGCAATTATTTAAAAATATGATACTAATAAAGTAAGTAATGTATTCAAGATGTCAACCATTAGGTAATCAGTTTGATGTTCATTTAAGTTGAGTCTGCCTTTAAACTGATTAAAACTCCATTCATTTCTTTGAAAAAAGAAATTTTATGACTGATTGAGATTTGAGTTTGGCCACCTATGATATAAATGTACTTTTATATTTACAGTCTCCCTATGAAAATGGTACATTTCAATTAGAATTGTTTTTACCAGAAGAATATCCAATGTCAGCACCGAAAGTTAGATTTATGACTAAAATATATCATCCTAATATAGATAAACTTGGCAGAATATGTCTAGATATATTAAAAGGTAGGTTTCTGAAATTTCATAAATTTTTGCATTGTTTTTATTATATTGAAAATTGGCATGGTATAGGTTTTGGCAAACATAACTCATTTTAAATTTTGATAGCCTTATTATATGCAGATTTGCTGAAATCAAAATTATTAATCTCTCATTGTATGATCTTATATCTACATAACAACAATTGAAAAAATTCATGCACGTAAAAATTTCTGAATTTAACTCAAACAGAAATATATCTACCGAACAACAATTGAAAAAAATCATGCATGCAAAAATTTCCAAATTTGATTCAAACAGAATTCAATTGAAATTGAGGATTGAGACGAGACGCCAACAAATATCACATTATGTCTTGTCCTGTTGCATTGCTCCTCCTTTTTCTTTGTCACAATAAAAAAAGAAGTAAATATTTTTAAAGCCTTTTGTGAAATACTGAAAATGTTACACCATGTAATAAATAAAACAAAACACAGTGTCAAAAAATTCGTAAGGGTTCCACGGAACCCAGTGTCTCGCCTACTTTTGCTGTTAATCGCAGGCTCAACAAAAATGAGATGAGGAAAAAATTTAATAAAAATATTCCTCTCGATAAATTTTTTTATTTTAAGAAGCTTCTGTCCAAGTTTGGTGAAAATCCAGGATAGTTTATGAATCTAATAAATGTTTTAAAAAATTTAACTGCAGACTGTATGTAATGTTAACTTGAAGAAAAACTAAGTCCATTTATAAGTAAAATATGGATAAACAAGTACAAAATTTTAATAAAAATTTCCTTCTAGATACTAGCTTTTGATCATAAACAAACTTCTGTCCATGTTTGGTACAAATCTAGGATAGTTTAAGAAAGTTATTAAAATTTTAAAAACTTTAACCACAGAGTGAATGTATACTGTTTCCTGGCAGAAAAACTAAGTCCATTTATAATAAAATACAGAAATCAGGAAATTTTTTTTTTTAATTTACTTCTGGATACTATCTTATGATCATAAACAAGCTTCTGTCCAAGTTTGGTAGAAATCCAGGATAGTTTAAGAAAGTTATTAAAATTTCAAAAACTTTAACCACATAGTGAATATTTGTGGACGCCAATGCCGAACGGAATGTAGGATCGCTATGTCTCGCTTTTTCGACAAAAGTCGAAGGCTCGACAAAAAGCACTAAATCAATGTTTATATCAATACACTAGTCTCCACAGTCTAGTTCACCAAGGTCCTGTCTCTGGTTAAATATATTGTTCCAGAGTGTAGATGCTTATTTGTAGTGGAAGTCCATGCTATCTTATCCTTGTTTGCATACCATCAGCAGGACATTCAGGGTACTTCAGGGTTCTCTGTATCTCAGTTTTGTGAAATTTACATTCAAGAATTCTTCTTGAACTGTGAATGTATAGTTTTAATTCATCATTTCTGAGAGATATTTAAAGTATACACCCTCTCCTTTGTCTTGTGTTAATCATTAATATTTCTGCAGTCAAGGTTAATAAAACTGATTTTGTGTCTACAGGATTTTCTTTGAATACTGTATTTGGCCTTGGTTGTATGCAGAACTGTCTTTTATAATTGTGAGATTTCTATTCATTTTCGGTGTTTTAGAGCTGAAGAGAAAGTAATATCTTGTGTGACTGTAGGGTCATTATTAATGAATTTTTGGTAGTATAATGTCTTGATTTACACTAAAACAAGATCTGATAAAATAAATTATCTGTCTTTGATCTTCGTTAGCATTTATATGTCAGTATATCATGTTCCGAGTTTGTTATCTGTTGTCACCCATCTTTATACCACTGCTAACAAAGTTTTGGAGTATATAGGAATCATCCTTTCCTTATGTCTGTCTGTTGATGTGCCTGGTACATGTAATGGCAGCTCATTAAAAGCAAGACAGATATTGATGAAACTTAATACAGTGGCAGAACTCTCAATGAGGATGTGCCTGTAGGAAAATAGTCCCAGTCCTACTTGTTAAAGGGGAGATAATCAAATACTTACTTCAATATTGCAATATATGGTAATAGTCTCTTGTAAACATAACTCCAAGCGGGGTCCGGTATACTATTGTGAGTTCACTCACAGTTCTAGTTTGTATTAAGCCTCAGAATTAAAAACTATACTGTCACTCATTTTCAGATCTGTCACTTTTCTACCTCTTGTCTGCCACATACATACATGTACATGTATTGTTCACATTGATTTGAAAATAAGAAAATGTGGTATGGTTGCCGATGAGACAACTATCCACCAGAGACCAATGACTTAGATTTAAGCAACTTGGTCAACTTAAAAAATGTATGCTGCATTGATTGACTGCAAGAAATGGAATTCAAAAAGTTAACAATACAAGATGGCAAGGTGGGTTCAATGTAGCTATAGATTATTGTCCACTAAATTTTCAGATAAATGGAGTCCTGCATTACAGATAAGAACTGTTCTATTATCAATACAAGCTTTATTAAGTGCACCTAATCCAGATGATCCCTTAGCAAATGATGTAGCAGAAGAATGGAAAACAAATGAAGCACAGGCTATAGAGAGAGGTGAGGATTTATAGTACTGAGTAAAATCTGAGATTATTATATTATATGTACTGTTATGGGAAAAAGTTTATTCAATTAGCAAAGTATTTTTTGTGAGGACCTTTATCAATTTTCAATTTATTTTAAGCATCTGTAACTTCTTCAACTCAAACTTAGGGATACACTGTATCATTCTTAGAATTATTTTGACGTATAGTGTGTATCAAATGTCTGTTTATAAAGAAAACAATTATTATTATCTTTCTTCCGTTCTCTAACTTCAGTTTGCCTCATCCAAATGTTATGAAACTTATACACAATGCTTATTACCACAAAATTCAGATCAAGTTGGAATTTTGATGGTGTCACTATTATAGTTCTCTAGTTTTGTCCCTTTATAACGTTATATGCAAGCGGGGCATCCTCTTTATCCCATGTACACATTCTCCATTTATTTAGGAGTATGGTTTTAGCAAATATTTTCATATACTTTTGAATTATGGAATTGTAATTCTGTGTGATTTAGGGTGAAATTATGAAGAAGCTAATGCTAGAAATACAATTGTATGTAAATCATCAAATACACTTAATTGCTTCTGTAACCTTAGTAATTTCCGCTACAGTGATATCAGGACCAGATGTGGGGAATAATCCCTTTAATATCTCCCATCTAAATTTTGTGAAATTATTCCTTTGATGAAAAACTATTAAAATTGTTTGTCTGCAGTATGTTAATACTGCCTCCAAAGACCTTGGATTTTTTTCTGGGGCGGGGGTTATCACCATTGTTTCCACAATATCTATGGTTTCCATTAAAAAGCCTGCCTAAGTGGTTGCATAGCAGTGAGCTTACCCTGAGTCATGGAGGTCTTGGGTTTGATCCCTGGCTGTGAGCTGACCAGAATAATGTGTCTACGTAGGGTTTAGTCTTCCTGTGAACTAGCATTTTAAAACCATGATGATTAAGATGGTTTGTAGTTGTTTGTCTTATTTTGCTTTTATTGTGCCATGACTTGCCTTTCATTGTAGCCATTTCTTTCTTTTTTTCAGCCCGAGCATGGACAAGAACCTATGCCAGTTCGGACAAATAGAATAAAATCTAAAAGATAGTGAAGAAAAACTACAATTAAGTGCTACATATGTGATAAAAACAGTGTCATCACTTACCATTATCACTCTATATCTGTGGAAATATTTAAAGATTCCTATCATCTGAAGATTCCATTCACTTAAAAATAAGAATGTGTGTATTTGTAGATATTTTAACAGTGGTGTAATTCCACATGTGTAATTCATTGCATTGCAGCCTTATTACATAAACATTTTAAATGAAGCATAGATAGAATATTTTCACTTCTCCTATATTCGTCTTCCCTAGACACATTTGTTATTTGGGATAAATTTAGTTTTGTGCTATACCTATTTTTTATGGAACTTTTACCCAAAGAAACAGTTTTTTTTTCTGATTACTGTTGGTGAATTTAAGCCCTCTTGCTTCTTTTGAAATTATGAGAAAGGCCATAGCATTAAACTATTGAACAATGCTATGTTTTCTTTTAATTTGTCATCCCAAATTGTTAATGCAAAACACAAGAAACTTTTCACAAAGTAATGATCCAAATCAGACCAAGCATATGTTCATTTTGGTCGTAATCAAGTGTTTTATTTTTGCTCTAATAGGGAATTTATTTAACCATTACAACCAAAACATGTTTTCTGATTTGTCTGAACTTTAAAAAGAGTTGTAGTCTTGATAATATCTGAATCCGCTTAAGGTTTAAAGTTGGCATCGAAAAATAGTTGTTACTCTGGAACCAATCATTCATCCATGGTGATACAAATATGATCATTATGGTACATAAACAACTGCAATAATCTGTGGTCATAGTATGGTATGGTTGTGTCCTCATTTTTGTCGTCTTGCTTGTTGTATTACGTCTGTAGACACAATGTTTTTCACAATAAATTTGCTTATAGTTGATCCTCTTGACATTTTGGCATGATTTACCTTGTGCAAAAGAAAGGCCGATTTGGTCTCTTGTAAAAAGTTGACTCATTGGCAATCATACCACATCTTCTTATTTTTATATGATATTGCTTTTTGGAGAATTGGGATCCTCCTATTCCTGAAAATGGACAAAAGGGTCTCAAAACAGTGTTTTCACCAGTTTTAAAGTTACATTCATTTTCCTTTGTTCTTGATGAATATTATTCTTTGTTTTCTTTACTGCCTCTCAGTTCTAGGGAATGTCAACTGATTTTCTTGTAACATTCATTTATGGTTACTTAGATATAAGAGACACTAGAAGGGTCAAGGCAAAACAAATCAACACAGTACCCTACCAATTTGTTAAGTATCAGCAGAACCAATTGCAATTTATACTTTTCACCTCTTTCTAAATAGAAACAACAGTATTCTTATCATTTGAATGAAATGTTACAATAATTTGAGTGTTTTCATATTCGTACCTCACATGATCTTTACTTTGACTTAATTTAAGATGAACAATGTATTATATATAAATTTACATTATATGTTTATTTATTTTGCTAAAAAATTGGTTTCCTTGGCAAGTATACAAAAATAAAATCCATCATGGGTTTCATATGTTTTCCCTGAATGATTTACCATTTTTTTTTGGTTTGTTTTTTTGTTTCTTAGAAAAGGCATTTAAACCTCCTAGAGAAGAAAGGACAGATCAAATATAGATAATTTGAAATTTCAACATTATTCAGATAAATAGTCTTTTTTAACTTTGAGCAATTTTATGATTATTTAAGGTAAAGGCCCTTGTAGTCACTGGCTTTGTTAGCTATATTTTAGCCATCAGCTATACTAGGCACAACATAGTGCAGTGAAATGAACATTCTTTAGATTCTATCCATGCCCATGTCAAGAATATACCCATATATTCAAGTTACAAATGATGTATATTATACTTTAAGTGGTCAAGAAAAAACATTTTATTAAAATTCCACAATTTAAAGAGTAGAATTTATTTTGTACTACCTGCAATTATGTCCAAATCTATGTTGTACTACTAGTACCTGCAAATAGGTCAAAATCTATATTGTACTACTAGTACCTGCAAATATGTCCAAATCTATATTGTACTACTAGTACCTGCAAATATGTCCAAATCTATATTGTACTACTAGTACCTGCAAATATGTCCAAATCTATATTGTACTACTAGTACCTGCAAATATGTCCAAATCTATATTGTACTACTAGTACCTGCAAATATGTACATTTGAAGTTCTCAGCTCAAACTATTGCCTCAACATAGTTCTTTGCTTCCTGTAATTCAAGTCAATGTTTAATTTTATGTTCACAATGAAACCAATTATTACCACCTAATTGCTCAAAAGCAAATTGATTGAAATGTGAATTTTGTTTGAATATGAATGAAAAAAGGAAAAATCTTTAAAAAAAAAAGCATGAAATATGTTTAACCACTGTATCAAGATCAATGCTACGAGTTTAGATTGAATGAACTGAACCATCTGTTCTCAATCATAGCCCCACTAGCCTGGGAAAATCATTGAGCTCATAGGGATCACTACTCATCTGTGTTACCTTGCATTGTTACCCTATTTCATATGTCTACATAGAATTAGACATTGTAAAAGTTTGGTGTTTTTTTTTCTACAATCTTCAATACCCACACATTAGAAGCCATCCAGACCTGACTTATCATCATACCAAAGTTTTCTATTTTATTTGTTGCTGTCATTAATTTTAGGGTTCCCACAGGCAAAAGAGAAACGTTTTACATGATTCATAAAAAAATTTGAAATCTAAATTTTGACTGCTTTCATGTTAACAAGAAACCAAAAGTGTATAACTAGTCTTCAAAAACTGTAAAAAAAGAACAGAATTGTCTAACCTTAGTGGGATAGGTAATTGGTTCCATGTCTAACATGTCCTTCAGGATCTAACCAAAGGCTATAAATTTAGTATTTTTTGCTTCTATGATAGGAATGCAGTATTAAGGAATAAGAACACAGACTTGTCGTCAAAATTAAATGTTTGTGTAAGGTGACAAGTCTTCCTGCAGACTGTTACCTTGAGAGGTAGCTGTTAAAAAGTCTGACTTGGAATATGGATTTAGAAAATTACAGGATAAATTTATATCACATTAAAAATGTAATTATCCTTAATATACATGTGATGATATTTGCCACTTAACATCCAGCATCCATTAACCAATAACAAAAGAAGTGTAGTGTTGCATTTTCATTTAATCTGTTAAAGTAGGAATTTATTTTATTCTTAGTAAAGCTGATGACAATAGCTCCCTTGGCACTGGGTTCTAAGCTTGCTATTGTCACCTCTTTGTGTCCTTTTCCTGCAGTTGTCATACAAATTATGTTCTATTGTGTTGAATTTTAACCAAACTTTGCTAGAATGATTATTGTTTAGTATGTATCATCTGTCCTTAACCTCATTTTCATGGTTCATTGATCAAATGTTGAGTTTTCTTGGGTAAGTCTATTTCCTAGATACTAGAAGCAATATGTCAACTATATTTGGTGCACAGAATAATTTTAAGCATGCATCATCAGAACTAGACCTCATTTTCATGGTGCATTGGTCAATGATTAGTTTTTCTAGTTAAGTCTGTTTCATGAATACTGTTAGCAAAAGATCAACTACATTTGGCACATGGAATGATTGTAAGGTATACATTTCTGTCTGGCATGTATCTCCTGACCTTGACCTTTTCATGGTTCATGGTTCATTGGTCAATGTTAAGTTTTCCTGGTTAGGTCCGTTTCCTAGAAACTATGATTAATAGTTCAACTATAATTGATAGACAGAGTTATTGTAAGATATACCTGACTGTCTGGCATGTACAGACATGTATCATTTGACCTTGATTTTCCTTCATTTCATGGTTAAGTTTTCCTGATTTATTCTGTTTCTTGGATACTATGCGTAAAAGGTCATCTATATTTGGTGTATAGAATTATTGTAGGTGTAAATGTCTGTCTGTCAAGGTTCATCTGATCATGACCTCATTGTCGTGGATTATTGATGATGTTAATTTTGTATGACAGTAGTAAAACCTTTATCTTTAAAAATTTAAACAATCAATCATGGTCAGTAAAGCAGGCTAGACATTTCAGCATGTGCACTCTTATTTTAAAAATTTTATCTTTTAAATATGTGTGAGAAATCCAACTTTATCAGTGAAATATATAGTTATACCCCCGCTTTAAAAAAGGGGGGGTATACTGTTTTACCTCTGTCTATCCTTCCGTCAGTCCATCCGTCCGTCCCATGAATATTTTCGTCGCATTTTTCTCAGGAACTACTTGACAAGGATTTCTGAAATTTGGTTTCAGGGTTTATATAAGTAAGTTACACCGTGTGATGCGTTTTCAGATTCATCACTCAACAACTTCCTGTTTACCGAACACTTGTATTATTTTACACATGATAGCCAAGTTGAAAATTTTCGTCACATTTTTCTCAGGAACTACTTGACAAGGATTTCTGAAATTTGGTTTCAGGGTTTATATAAGTCAGCTATACCGTGTGATGCTTTTTCAGATTCATCACTCAACAACCTCCTGTTTACCGAAATATTTCGGCGGGGGTATCATCAGTGAGCAGAAGCTCACAGTTTTACTTGTTTTCTTGGGTTTCACAGGGTCGTCAGTGGGGAAAGGCAGGCATGGAGCGGACATCCTGACGACCAAGGGCAGAAAAAATAAGCAGGCTCTGGCTTGTCACAAGAAATAGAGATATTTGTAGATTTTTGTCTCTCTTCTGACGAAAGTTGCAGAATGCGAGACATAGGTATTATTCTCTCCTGCGGCGATGTTAACTATTTGTATAGGACGGCGTGCACAAAGCTGAGTCTACAAACGTAACGTCTTCAAATTACTTAAACCTTTACGACGTCGACATTTTTTCTCAAGAAAACAAACGCGTAACAAAAACACTGGACACTTAGTTTATCACATAGCTTTAAACATAAACGTTCAACATATCACTTTTTTTCGAACAACAAAGTGAGCAATTGCACATTCTGGAAATATAAATAAATATATGCTAAGAGCAGTGTAATGGAAATCATAAGCGACTATGTCGTGGACCCTCTCTAAAAAATAGCGTTAAAACGCCATTTCTTTAAATTGTAACATAATAGTTGGACATAAAAAAAAATCAGGTGTTCAGCCTGGACTATCGAATCATTCATATTTTGCAGATTTTTGTAAACCTCTTGTTATGCACATTTGAAATATCAAGTTATTTTGAAATAAAAAAAATAGCAATTACATATCTTTTTTTACAGATTCTTCATTTTCGAATATTAATCCTTCCAAATAACTACTTCTTACACATAACGAATGACATTCCAAACTCATCCGAAAAACTCTAATATACGAAAATGCGGGAAAATCTGTTGAATTTGTATAAATTTTAGGTAAAAAACTCGATTTTATGCTTATTTAATGTTACTAGTTTCACATATTTTTGCCGTTCTCTCAGTGTTCGTTTCATACTTTATAGATTTAATTTTGATAACCTTACTAGTAATGTGGATTTTAATTGGTAGCATTCATAATTTTATCATAAGAAAAACTTCTTTTTTAAAAGATATTTTAATCACGATTGTATAATACTACTTTCAAAAGCGCATTTTCTAGTTGCCGTCAACTTTGAGCACGCCGTCATATAGCTTTATATTTCATGGAAGAGAAAGCCTGGTTGCTTCATACCTCTTAGATATATTTGTAAATTTTACATAGCTTCAGTCTGTCAAATGTCTACTGCTTTGACCTCATTTTAATGGGTGAGCGACTGCTTGAAAACAAACTTCATATTTTTATCAATATGCCCCCCCTTCTGTTACCCTTGTCAGTCTGTATGTCCGTCCAAACGTCAGTACGTCGCAAAATTAGTTCCCATTCTCCAACTTTAGTTTTCCTCAACCAAATGTTATGACATATGGTCAAAACACAGATCAAGTTCCAATTTGGGTTGCGTCACTTTTACCATTCTTGATTTATAGATATAAGAAGATGTGGTATGAGACAACTCTCCATCCAATTATGTCCCTTTATAACGTTATATGCAAGAAGTGACATCTGTGTCCCCTGGACACATTCTCCATTTATTTATCATGTGAATTTCTCACTTATTAAAGTAATATGATAACTATATTTGCTATATGGGATCCTTGCAAGTTCAACATGTCAACTATATGTGGTGTATTGAATGATTGTAAGGTGAACAACCTCCGGCTTTCGTATCTATTTGACAGGATTTATCTGAACTTTACCTCATTATATGGATAATTTATAATGTTAATTTTATGTAATACTTGTTGAATAACCCTTTTCCCTGAGAGTTTCAACATAAAATCTACCATGATCAGTCAAGCAGGCGAGACATATCAGCTTGCTCACTCTTGTTTTTCAATTCGGGAGATTTAATATTGATAGATCACAAATAGTTAAGTAATAAATAATCTTTATTAACTTCATACAATCCAAAGTATTTAACTACATGTACTTTGTACTTAATAATCTGTTTGGAAATTACGCCGTGGAACATTTAGCTTAATAACTTTAATGTTTGTGTATTGAACAACACAGTTTACTCAATGACTAGCTGTTTGATAAATGCCATTTGTGGTTTTGTTTAATTTTGTTGATGCCTATCAAATTGCTAAGCTTGCTTAAACATGATGCTCACCTGGTTTCTATAAACTGCCTCATGCCTTTATCTTAATTAACATCAGATATCAGCCATATAGAGTATAGTATTTCGCTAATGTAAATGAAAAGTTGACCCTAGATGGATTTGGCTATTTCTTAAGGTACTTTTTGGTCATATAGCTCTTCAGCTGTTTCGGTTCTTGCACATTCTTAGCTTTCCTTATGAAGGCAAATCAAGAAGAAAAATGCGCTTCGGACGTATGAACTTTATAAAGTGGCGTTTTCATTTTTACAGCACTGGACCGATACA